TTTTTCTGTTTCACAACAATTCTTCTCGGTTTTACCATATTGTACCGTCATTTTCCCTGGCCCTCCTTTGTTCAAACCCCCCTTCGCCGCACGCTGGAGAAGCAGTGCAGCCAATGCAGATTTCGCTGCAGCGAGGCCCCGACGATGATGGGCCCACCGCGCCACACGATCAGCTTCTCGAGCGCGGAGTGGTCACGGATCGCCTCCGCCCAATCCTTGGAGCCAGGTTTTAGACCATGGAGGGGTTGGAACAGGAGTTGAACCATGGTGAGTTTGTCGCAGCAAACATGGGAATTTGACCGGTGCAAATGATGATTGAACTAAAAAAACATATGGGTTCTTTAACAGTAAAAGTGGTGATTTAACCAACAAAAGTTAGGATTTCACAAGCACAAATGGTGATTTAATCAAAAAACATGGTGACTTAAGCATCAATAGGAATTGGGGACTTTTTAGCAATTTATTATCCAGGGTTATTGATCAGTTGCGGAGTCAGTGGAATGGCCGCCTATGTAGTGCTATGGATGATGGAGGTTACTCTTACCAAAAAAAGAAGTTATATGAAGATACAACATATAAAAACGAAAACATGCTGTTCTCAGTGCTAGAAATTTATGGTTTCTCTTTACGGAAATGGATGCATATATATATATAATATAATATATATACGACATACCAGCAAAAAAACGGGATGAGTGACTCCTATACTGATCTTGGCAGAGTCTTGGGAGTGGATTTATTGTAGCAGCTCTCCTCCTAAAAGGTGACCCTGGTGACCGGCGTAGCGGCCCAGGGCTCTTTATCTTCAGAACTTTGCGAACCTTTCCGATTTGACAGGAGCTGCTGCAAAGTTGAGTTCCTGGAGTTCAACCACGGACAGGAGAGGATTACAACCAGCGAACAAAGACCAAAAGGGGATCTGGTTTCTGCCGTCAACAATATTCAGTGCCATAAACAATCATCGAACACTGTTTTAACTAGCTTGTGGGCAACAACGTCGACACGGTTGAAAAATACCACTGCTGGGATGGATAAAAGTTGGCAACACCCACAGTTTCTACAGTACAGGTGAGACCGGCTGTCACAACTTGTCACGATATGTGCTGTAGCACTTTCCAAAAGAACTCGAAACCTATAAAACCTAGGACGTCAAACAAAAAGACGATGTTTTTGGGAAAACCCGGGGTTTTGATTTTGGAACATTTTGGTGATAGCATGTGTGTATGTGTACAGTAACTGAATCCAACAAGCTTCCAAGATATCAGCAATGTCTGTAGATCATATGCCTCAAAGACACACAAAATCACACAAAATCAACATGTCACACAAGAACCAGTGTATATCGGACACATATATTACACAAACCATACCTCATCTTTATAAGAACAAATGCATCATGTCATGGCATAAGCAGGAGCTTCTGACGTGACAGTAACACAGCTCATGGGAGGGATGTTTTTTGAGCAAAGGCGTCCTATACCTCCTTTCGGCCAAATGCCTCTCACATCTCAAGATGAATATACGTAAAATGTTGTAAGATGCTTCATACACAAGAAAGACTTCAACCCAGAAACCCAGTTTTTTCTTATGCCAGTTGACATTGACCTACAAAAAGCAAGCATCGACCAACTTGTTTCCCGTTGGCAGCCATGATAACCTGGTTTCACGGCACCGTTGCAAGAATTGAAGTGAAAAATGCATTGTTTTGACCGTTGGAGTTGCCTTCAAAAACCAACCTAAAAACCAATCTTTTTTCTCCGGGTTTCTACGGGTTTTCTACGGGTTCTTACGGGTTAGAAAACCCGAGTTTTTGGAAATGCGGGGTTTTACGGGTTAGGACGGGTTTTATACGGTTTACAACGGCTTTTCTACGAATTCTAAATTCCACCCCCAAAAAAAAAACCATAATTTCCCATCATGGAAAACAAATTTGGCATTGGGACCCCTAAATTCCGAAAACAATGTGGATTTCCTTTGTAAGTTCGTGTTCAGGTTGAAATGCGTGGAAGGGTGAATATTTTGGAACATGTCCCCCTTAGAGACCTTGAACGGATGTTTTTTTTCACACAATCACCATTTCCTAATGGGCTGTGAGGCAGAAGGATTTGAAGGCAAACGATGGAACTACAACAACCCACCCAATTGGTTTCCCACGCCTATTTTGATATTTGCATCGGAAGGTCATGCCATGTCATGCCATCATTGACTATGCTTCCTGAATTTCGTTGGTAAACAATGTGCTGGAGCTCTCACAGCTTATGTATAGGATCGCGTCCGTCCATGGGACACATGCCCAAAGGCATTCAAAGGCTTTAAAAACTGATGATTTCTTTTATCAATCATTCCATCCGATGAGGCTTCCATAGTCTTGATCTTTTGAGCCCCCACTTGACGTTTTGCTGATTTGGTATGGCGCAATTCCAATTAAGAGGCTTTTCCGGCGCTTCTGGAAAGTGTTTCTTGAAAAAAACGGGTTTTGGGGGAAAACCCGAGGTATTCATCAAGCAGGTGAGAAAAGCCGGGGTTTCAGTTCATGTCCTACACATTCGTAGGATCAAGGTTCCCTAGGTAATGGATCCCCAAAAATGGCCCTGTGGTGAGCCCTTCGGCTCAGTTGTAACATGAACCTCAGCGCCTCGAAAAGGGATGAGGTATATACACTAGGAATTCTATTCATTGTTAATGGATGGTGACCGGATGGTGGTGGTATATTCATTTCTCCATTAATTAGAAGTTATCCCTTTCATGTGATAAGATCAATTGGTACGGCAGCTTGAAACCAACATGTTGCAATGAATGCTACCTGCCATGACCTATCTCCATCGGCTTTTCGAACCAGGCTATATTCCCATCCTTTTTACTGGGCAGTGGGAAAGCACAAGGCATATCTTTACATTAAATGGAAGGAATTTCCGGATTTCCCTGTGAGGTGACGTTTGGTTACCGGACAAATTGGAACCACAGCCATAGATTGTCCAACCCCAGTGCGCAGTATGCAGTGGACCTTCCAAGAAGAGAACAACCATGGAAGTACCCAAGGGGCCAAGGGGAAGTTTTAAAGCTCAACCAACCAAAGGATGCCAAAGGTACATGTCTAAAGTCCAAGATTCCCATCATGAATTTTCGAGATCAATTCTCAGTCCCATGAATTTCAAATCTTCAAATTCCAGAAATAGTTTTACAAGAAAACATATAAAATCTCTGAACAACCCAACAGTCTACCAATTTTATACATTGAAAACCAAACAGTCCACCAATTTTCCTTACACAAATCAAATTGAGGTGGCAAGTGACAGAACGTGTCAACCTTGGATAGCTGAAGTTCAATCAACGCAATGATTTTTCAACACTTTGATTTCAACATGTTTTGATTCTTCAAAACACCAAAGCAAATACGCATCCAATCTTTGATGGTTACAACATGTTACAACTCATTGATCTCCCACTTTCTCTGGCTATGGCGTATTTCAATGTATTTCAGTTCCCGTCCTTAGTGGTTTGTTCACCACAAAGCCGGAGACATAGTCCTCTCCAACATCGCTAATCAGCACTGTTGCCTCGCACTGCTGAGATCTGGGATGTTACCCTAGAAAACCCACGGCGAGACCCGTCCGGCAAAAGATCTACAAATGGTGGGTTTTGCAGATCTATGTTGGCTTACAGGATGGTAACCATCAACAAAAAAACTGAATAATTTATAGCCCCGAAAAAAATAGAAAAGTAAGGCATCCCCATGTTCATAGGGGTTTTAATTTTCATTTTTTCGGGGGACACGAGAGTTTCTAACCCACATTAACATCCAAATACACTACTCACAAGGATGTTGACACTCGAAGACGGAGACGGACAGCTCCAAAATGGAAGCCCCAAACAAAGGAGGTTTCCTAAAATGGGGGCACCCCAAGTCACCATCGGTTTCGATACAAAAATGGACCAATGACTTGGATTTTCAGGAAACCCCCAAAGATGGGCTTGGAAAGTGACTGTGTTCATTTTGGATTTTCCAATTCGGCCACCATTCGGCCTGTACCGAATGGGAAACCAGTTTGGGACACTTTAAGACCACATGGGCATGGGACTCCCCCTGGAGGATGACTGTTCTATAGAAAGTTGGACTTGTCCTTAAGAGTACTGCGCAGTACTTGTTACTCGCATCCATGTCCTTACCAATTGGTGTTTTCATGGTTCACCTGGGCTTGTGGGATTACCTTGGAGCGAATTGTGATACTAAAAACAATTTGAATCATGCTAATGATTGTGCTAATAATCATGCTAATAATCGTGCTAATCATCATGTTCATCATGATGTTCATCATGATGTTCATCATCATGTTCATCATCATGTTCATCATCATGTTCTTCACCATGTTCATCATCATGTTCATCATCATGGTCATGATCATCATCATCATCATCATCATCATAATCATCATCATCATGTTCATTTCATCATCATCACCATCATCATCATCAGCATCATCAGCATCATCATCATCATCATCATCATCATCATCACTATGTTCATTTCATCATCATCATTATGCTCATTTCATCATCATCATCATCATCACCATCACCATCATCATCATTATTAACATGTTCATCATCATGTTCATCATCATGTTCATCATCGTGTTCATCATCATCATCATCATCATGATCATCATGATCATGTTCATTTCATCATCATGTTCATCATCATGTTCACCATCATGTTCATCATCGTGTTCATCATCGTGTTCATCATCGTGTTCATCATCTTCATCTTCATCATCATCATCATCATCATCATCATCATCATCATCGTCATCATCGTCGTTACCATCATCATCGCCATCATCATGGCCATCGTCATCACCATCGTCATTATCGTCGTCACCATCATCGCCATCATCATCGCCATCATCATCGCCATCGTCATCGTCATCGTCATCGTCATCACCATCGTCTTCGTCATCGTTGTCGTCATCATCGTCATCGTCATCGCCATCGTCATCATCATCACCATCGTCATCGTCATCGTTATCGTCATCATCATCGTCATCATCATAATCGGCATCACATCCATGTATTATATATATATGTATGTATTATATTCCTACATGTAAGAGGAAAACACAGAAAGTGATGACATAGATACCCATACTTAATCATATTCATAATTACCTTCTGGTTATTTCACATAGCTTTGGAACACAGACCATTTCATACCGTGTCTAGCTGATAAGCATGGTGATGTACTGTTCTTATGTAATCATGTTTAACAATATCAAACATAAGAAATTAGATAATATTAACTATATCTATATATATATAGATATCGTATTAACAGACTTAATCATAACTTAGCATATAATGACATACATTGTTTCTCATCTTTTCTCCAGCATCGGATCTCCCTCCTGGTCCCCTTGGTCCGTCCTGATCGAAGTTGGGATCTCGGATGCAACTCATGGGGTGAGCCAACAGCAGGTCTCCTGCGCCGGTGACACCACCGTAGTGACGACATATGAAACCAGCGGGTTCCAAGAACTACACGTCACAAGAAATGAGGACATGTATCAGTGACAAATATACATGCATATATATATATACATATATATATGTGTATATATACATACTGTAAAAAATATATATATATATATGTATACTGGTTGGTGGTTTCAACCCCTCTAAAAATATTAGTCAGTTGGGATGACTCTTCCCAATAATTATATGGGAAAAATGTTGCAAACCACCAACCAGTATGTATATGGACATATGTAATTATATTATATTTATGTAATTAGTTGGACTATGTTGCATTCATGTCTTGAAACAAGTATATGCAGTCAATATGGTATCATCATCCCAAAGTAAACCACAGGAAATGAAGACTTTTGGAACCTCAAAGCCGCTGGCTCAATGTCGAGCCGCGCATCTGGGCATTAATTGGGTGCATCCAGTGGTGGATAACCGGCTGATTGCTGGCACATACACAAGTAGGATACGAGTCAAATGACCCTCTTACTGCCCTCTGGCATCCTTTGGTGATCATATATATAGCAATGAGCAATCTACCATTTATAGTTGAATTTTCCATTCAAACCTTCATTCACAGGGGATTTCTCAGCTAGCCACGTTTGAGAACACCAGAGGGTAACTGGGATGCACATCCAGTAGGTGACAATCCCCAAGCCTCTTTGTACCTGCTGATGCCCACCGCAGTCGAAACCTCGACAAACACCGTCGTTTTTCCCTTCCTCCACAAAACTATGAAGGGAGCCAGAAAAGGAAGAGATTCAATACTCAACCGGGTTTTAAATGCTCTATATAATTTTAACAAAATGAATATTAGGATATAGCAGGGGGGAAGGGGTTACAGTTGTGGTATGTGGGGTGTTGGCTGGCACCCAATTCAGGAGCATATGTATCCGGAGTATATGTCCAAAACTATGTCATGTAATGCTTATGGGACAACTTGATTCCTTTTTTTGCTAGATGGCCCTAACATGCCTTAAACCGAGGAGCAAAACAAGTGGACACAACCTCTATACCAATGGGTTATTTTTCATGTTTCACTGCTGCATACTACTACTATGCTAGAGTACCGGACGGTACATTCCCTATTTTCACGCGTGAAGTCTCCATTAATCACCATATTATCATCCCATCACAATCATGACATCATCACCAAATAAACCACATGAAATCACCAAAATCACCATAGTGCACCATAATGTTCCCATTTAAATGACAAATCATACCCAAAAAAATCACCTCGGCACCCCAAACATCGCATCTAAAACAAGGAGCTCTTCAGCAGCTGAAGGTCACTGGTTTCCGCGGTGTCCCAGTCCCCGAGGTCTTGAATCAGTTTCTTGGCCTCTTCAAAGCGCTTCAGTAGCTGCGTTGCTTCGCCTCGGGAAAAATCTTGCAAAATCTTGGGAAAATAAGGTAGTTTCACCAAGAAAACCATCGGAAATCATAGGAAACCCATCGGAAATCATAAAGAAACCATCGGAAAACCATAGGACAACCAGCACATGGGGATTTTGTAGAGCCAAATCTGGCTTTTGGGGCCCCAGGCCTCTACAGAATGAGGAACCTGCCACAAATCTAGCAAGGGCTTTTCTCTACAAAATCAAGGCGCCCAACCCCTTTTTTTTGGTGCACTCTTGTGATTTTCAGAACCACTGGCCTCTACAAAGTGGGGAACCTGACATGCGCACACATTTGAGCAGAATTGCTACTTGGAATAAAGCAAGCTCTCAAAAATACAAAGATCCATTTTGTAGAGGGGTGATGTGAAAGAACCTTGGTCTCCCCTGACAACCCTGAAATTTACAAAAATCCATTTTGTAGAGGCAATTCCTGTTCCACATTTCCAGTTTTTGTAACATCATTGTATATATTTATGCACGTGAATGTTGACACACCCCAAAACCTCTACAGAATGAGGAACCTACAGTTTCAGCCAACTACAACATGTTCCCTCTCCAAAATCAGGAACCTGTAATTGCATATCCTTGCAGGCACTTAGGCTGTCCAAAAAAATGGTTTTGGCGGACCCCCGGGGGTCTTGATAATGGAGTGGATTTTTTGGGGGATACTATAGCTATACAGTATACACCCAAGTCATGAAAATGATGTTTTCCAATTATTTGTGTTCCATGATAAGTTTAAAAGGTGTGTAGCTAATTATTTGCCACAATTCACGACAAGGATGGAGCCCGAAAGAATCTGACATTCATGATGTCACTCATGGTGCCAACATGATTAACCTCTGGCAAGGTCCAACTTGACGATAAATGTTCATCGACATCGACAAATGTTCCCATCAAAAGATATGCCGACTTCCCACTACGATTGTGAACAGGGGAGTACATTGGTGGAACACGACATCCTGAATCTAACAGATCTATCCATGGACCTGCCCGTCTCCCAACATTGGAACAGAAGGAGTTAAAGCAACAAACAAAGACAGCTTGAAACAAATAAATTGTATTTGAAACATTGTTCAAATGGCAGAAACTAACATGGACCATTTCAATCCTCCAAGAACGGCACCTCTTTCCCACGTGATAAACTGGGCCCGCGCACATAAAATGACACGGGGCCAAGGAAATTGAGGAAACCATGAGTCTGGACATGCATATATTGATGTACATGCAACTATACATATAGAGCATATAATGAGCATATATATATATATATATATATAGTGTGCTTGTTTCTGCATATGTATAAATACATATGACATAATGTAGCTCACATCGTTTGGAGATAAACGTGAACGGTTCCACAGTGAGGACTTTGAGGAACTATGGTCTATCGTGATGTTCCTTCTTAAGTTTTACATTGAGCTGAACCATGGGAAAACCAATCATCCACCATCCCTGTGATTCCATTGGGTACACCCCCCTTCCGGCATGATGCAAACAACCCCCACGGCACGGTTCGTAACTGGGACGGGTCTGAAACCATCCCTGGTGTCGCACGACTTCTCCAATACCTACTAGTAACATCTGCATCTGCAGAATCACAACTGCAACTAGTATGACTTTAGTTATTCATGCAATATTGTAGAATGTGTCTATACATATATATATATATAGTGTAGAATATGACTACATAATTACATAATTGCCTAAAACCACATGTAGTCAGTTGAACTGCTAGCTGCTAGATGATTTTAGGTCATGACTTCAACTTCGACATCTATCCAGGATCATATCCAACACAACGGTGACGACTACAAAGTTACCATGGTGGTTCTAACCCATCTCAAGAATATGTCTCAACCAAACCAATCATCCCTTTGCTGCGGCTGAAAAACCATAGATACGAAGTAGTCTGGGTAAAGTATCAAAATTCACTGACCTGAAATGTTTGGTTGTGGGATAGTTACCCCTAACAAAAATCCCATCATTCCAGGGTTCGGTCGCGGTCCTTTTGATCTACCCAGGGCAGTACAGTGATAGTCCTAAAGATTTTATAAATGAAATTATACCTCCTATAACTGAGGTTCTATATCCTTATATATCACCACAAGTAGGTGCTAGCTTTACCATTCCCACATTTGTGGTTTATGACATTGTTTTACCCACCGTAGACCCATTTATAACTGTTTAGTGGGCCATAACTGGGCGCATGATGCCCTCGCGGTCGCCCGGTCACTTTGGTACGGCAAACCCATTGCGGTCGCCCGTCGGAAATGCCGTCCTCAGCAGGGCGCTAAAGGAGATCAGCGCAGAATGCCTTCTGCGTTCGGTTAATGGGGGTGGAAACTGTATACAATGGGATATATATATATATATAGATATTTATATATATATATATATATATGTAATATTTAATATATAATGTAATATATATATAACAATATATATATATATACATATGATATGTATAAAACATATATGTATGTATATAATATATATGTATATAAAATATAAAAATATATGTATAATATATATGTATATATAATATATATATATATACAATATATATGTATACAATATATATATATGTGTATACAATATATATATATATATGTATATGTATATGTATATGTATATATGTATATGTATATGTATATGTATATATGTATATGCATGTGCTTGTGTAATAAAATACATATATGTATATATAATTAATATGTATCAATGATTGGAACATCACGGGGATAACATGATGTATAAAAAATATAACATGTATACTGTATATGTATACATATATATATATATGTATAAATGTAATGACTGGGGATCTTTATGGCATAGACCCCACCAACAATGTGGGGTTCGGGGTTTGATATGGTTTGATTGAAAATTAGGTATACGCACCAAGTAGCTAATTTGCTACAAACAAAAAATGCACAATAATGATAAACCATGAACAGTTTGACAGCACTTGACAGTTTCCCATTTTTGCCATGGAAACAAGTTTGAATTGGTGACAAACATGTTTCACTTCCACAAGTTTGGACATGCATTTTGTTTACTGGCAAATATATCCTTGTAATCCCGATCCTAGAATTTGGGTGAGCCTCTGCGTAATGTTAGTAATTAAAGCGCTAGAAACACCGTCCCCCTAAATATACCATTTCTATGGGCATAAACCAACAAAATATATGGCTGGTTTATGATTGCTTTACTAACATTGCAGCAAATTCACTTCACTGCAATCATCAGGGTCTATGAGATGCTCCTGCAGCTAGGTCCGGACAGTGCCAAGGAGAAATCACCACAAAGCTGGTCACAAACATATCACCAAGACCAGTGCATTCCAGACCAATGCGTGGTACACCTTCGTGGCATTGCACTACTTGAAACAAAACTATCAAAATTGACATGGCGCGTCTTTTAAATGAACAAAACTAAAGAAAACATCAGTCTGCTTGCTTAGTTTCAACCCTAAATATTACTTAGCTGGGATCAGCATCCCAAATGGCTTCAAAAATTACACATATCTGAAACCGCACGCCAACTACATCCAAATACAACCAAATATCTATGAAGTGCTGGTTGCTGAAGATCTTTCCGTTCTTCCTTCAAAAACAACCTCCTCCAACTCCGCATAACTCGTTCCGCCCAGTCGCGACAGGCGCGGGCCACCGCGCCAGAGTGTTTGCCGGGCAGGGCGAACTGGGTGGAAAGGCCCGAGGCCTTGCTGCGGTGAAAGAACTTGGTGACCCACCTTTTGGGGTGACCTTAATGGTTATGAATGATGATTAAATTGGTGGATATATGTTAATATAGTGGTTATTGATGATGGTAGATACTATGGATAATTATTGTTATGGTAATTCCTGGGTATATAAACTATGGGACTCTAACCTCAACTTTACAACTATGGTCAAAACTCACCCCCAAGTAGCTCTGTTTGACTCTATTGGGAAACCACAGCGAGTACTTTTTTGGTGGCAAACGATGACTGCCCCTGAGGTATCCCTCCACTTGCGCTAAGTAAAAGCAAAACATATATATATATATACACACATATATATTACAACTGGATTACAGCGCCACTTCATAACGAGGTGGTGGCCCGCAGTGAAATGTGTGTTCGTTTATATTACCACTACAGCAACTACCTTCTGACTCCCCACGACTCCCCACGAATGGGGCATAATGGGGCATTTGGAATCAGCAGGGGTCCGGAATTTACACACCCTTGGGACCCATTTAGGGGTTGTTTCATATTGGGGGAAGAGATTACGTATCCGGCATTATCCTAATCATCCTATCATCCTTGCAAGTACTCGTGAAGATAGTTTCTTAGGGGAAATGAAATGAATGGTCAATAGGCATTGGTTGCGGCATACCATTCCAGATCTATCCAGTAATCAAAGAAATGCCACCTGAAAATTAGAAAATTTATGGCAAAACCATGAACTATTGAATAGTTGAGTTTTTACAAGCCCATCAGCTATACTTATATATATTAATTATATAAATTATGTATAAAAATATATAACCCAATAATTAATCAAATTATATATTTGCATCAACGCTATCGAAAACGGGGAAGCCTCACCTTGTAACCGCCCGTTCAAAATCGCCTCCCAAACCATTTCCTCAGCAAAAGGTGAGACCTGAAAGCGCGTGCGAACCACCTGCGGCAGTCTGCGGCTTGGCGGCCCCGAGATGAAAACAATGTAGCATATAGGCAAATACTCTGTGTACTGTGTACATATAACTATGTGTAGAAGTATCAGTGCATGTGCATGCATGTATGTAGTATGTATGTGGTTTAATTGGGATAACATAATCCGAGATATGGACGAACGTATGTGGAAAGCATACTGAAAATCAACTATTTTTATTATATATATATATCTGTCAATAGTATCCATTTAACAGTAACAGACTGCAATTCTTCTCTGTTGGGGTGTTAGAGACATTTCTGAGGGCCATAACTCTGAATAAATCTGAACGGGTATCATTTCCTGAATTCTGAGTGGAGTAGAATGTGGACGAAATGTATCCATGGGTACTCATCATTGGCGGCTTTGGCAGCAAAGGCATTAACTTTTTTTCATAGTCAGGCCAAGAGTTTTTTTTGGGGGAAAGCCTCCTGGATCAATGGCATGAGAACTGATGATGTGCTTGCCCCGCACCCCTTGCTGCCCCTGCTCACTATTGGTCTGCATCAACACAACCAGTCAAATAAGTTGGAGTGAAACCCTGCCAACTCTGAATAAATACAATCACCAAATAAAGTACTAATTAATAATGATATATATATATATATATAAAATATTAAATATATCATATATACACATCCGTACCTACAGTATATCCACTACATCCACTATATATTCAATTATATCCCATTGTATCCTCACCGACTGAATCCAAAGATCCGAAGAGGATCCCCCGTGAAGTTAATCAGATGATTTTCCCAAACACCCCGCACCTTTATCTTTGTAACTCAACCCCCCCTTGATTGAATATAAACATATGATATAATTATATTATTAACATGTGTGTGTGTAACATCTGAACAGATGTAAAACTTCTGAATCGGTTTCAATGGTTTTGTATGTTTGCAGGGGGGCAGTGCACGACTGACAAACACTGCCCGACGAAGACACTGTGAGTTCGTGGTGATATGGAGTCTGATCAACTCCACGTACCTGCATTTTTTCACTGCAATGGCCAGGGGCTAAGCCAAGAACCCAAAAAAACAATCATGTCATTTTCGATGGTATTTTACACATGGTCCCTGCGATATTTTTCTGAAATGGTGAAGGGCTAAGCCGAGAACCCTACGGAGATCATTATCACGGTCTACGTTTTATTCGATGGTATCTATTTGATGGGATTTATGGGCGTGATTGTCTTTTCGGAGTACCTCCCATTGGTCGACTTAGTTTCTAGGATTTTTGTTTTCCTGACTAATTTGCACGTTAAAGGACTCAGTTCCTGATGGATCACTTAAAAGATCCAATTTTGTCATATTTTGTCTAGTGTGTGAATCCTCATGCATCATGCCTTTATTTCTGACTCAAACCCTTGGGACAGAGAGTCAAAATCCCCCAAGGGCGCCGTCGCACCCGGTGCTGGTACCAGTCATACTTCCGCGGCGGGCGTCCCACCAGACCCAACTGCCAGGTGGGTTCCCGGTCGAAGTGACGACACAAGCGGAGCAGCTTGCGGAAGGGGGCCAGCTCGGGCCGACTCATGGCAGATCTATATATTGATATTTTGAGGTGATTTTGAAGGGATTTATTTTTGGAAATCGGAAAGTGAAGTCTGATATTTGCAATATTTTCTGAAGTGATTTTCCAACGAGATTATGGGAAACTGAAGTTGTTTACCGCCAAATCTAGGGGGTTTCTCGCAGATTTTCACAGCAATTCTGGGCGAATGGTTGGAATATGTTGGATTTGGAAGGGCCCTCTGATTGCAATGTGGTTTTCAATGGGCAAACATGGGCACCTGGGCTCCAACTTGGAGTGGTGATATAGTCCACTAAATGGCCACTTCGAACTGGTGCTAAACGTAGGGAATGGATGGGTTGTTGGGGGTTGCTGGGATGATTATTATGATGTGATTATGGATCATTCCCGAGAATTCCCCGCGTTTAGCACCAGTAAGTTTTGGGACTGTTGATCCGTTGATCTCCGTTCAATTTTCAAGTTGACTGTTGACTCAAGCACTTTGATCCCCGTGAGCGTGCGTTGTTGCGACTTTGGATGGCTATGGTGTTTTTTCTTCCGCTACGAAGACCTCTGGAAGACTCATGCAAAAATCTTCGATGTCCATGCTGTCGGCTAGAAAGTCATGTTCCATGCAGGGCTCATTTTTGAGAGTTCCATATTTGCGGAGGCCCATCATTTCCTTAAGCCGTCAACGGCTGCGAGGATTGCATGAATCATCCGCCCAGTTGTGGCCCCTTAACGGTTACAAACATGTGTATATATATATATATATTTATTTATCTATTTATTTATTTATGTATTCATGGTTTTGAGATGTTTTGAGTGAAAACCCTGTACCCCTGTTGAACATCAAAACAGCTGGTAAATGGGACGTTCATCCCCCTAAAGATGGTATTTTTAGGTGTGGATCCTATGCCATAGCCTGATACCTCCATGCGCCTGAAACAAGTTGAAGAAATGAACATCCAGGACGAAATTTCTCCACGAGCATCTCCAAATTGGCTTCGTCTCTGGAAACAGGGACGGAAAGCAAGCGTCAGAAACCACCAAGTAACAGAAAGCAGTGACTTTTGGGATCGTGATTGATTGGGCTCAAAAAATCAATGCCATGCAAGTTGGATTCCAAGATCAAAATTTGGCACCTTGGATCGCACAAATAGGATAGAATATATAGGGCAATCTTGGGTTGGGGCCCCGCGTGATGAATTTCGTACCAGCCATGACTCCTATGAATTGGGAGAATTGGCAGGTTATGTCCATGTTATGTAATTTTCTTAAAGGAACTGCACCCGGAAGTAGTCAATCGACTTTTCCCACCACCAATTTCCCACAAAAAACAGCCATGATTCAACCGCAAATCCTACCTATCTGGGCGGCCCCGTAGCACGAAATATGAGGGTTTCTGGTGCTTTCATCGTATAAACCAGCTGGTTTGACCTTATACAACATAACCATCAACGAAGGGAAACTGAACAACGAAAAGTAAATCATTCAACGCGATTCCCACGGATTCCCTCGGATTCCCACACGATGTCACCAGGGAACCCCTGCATGCTGCTTTCCAAAGGCCTAGATATATAATTACATAGGGTGAACTCAACCTCTTGATCTTTGGTTTATTAGGTGTTAGTACTGTATAGTACTGCAACTTGAACGCAGTTATAGCATCTTATATTTGAATTGTCCACTAGCTAAGTTGATGATCAGGTGACCCCACTACTTTCTCCGAACCGTGGCCAGTCGGTATTTTTGCAGCCTTCCACGATAGTGGAGTCGCTGCTGCCACGAATTGGACGGCCCGGGGCGACGAATGGTGCCAACAGGACAGTCATGGAATATGCTGGATAAAGCTGGATAAAGCTGGATTAAGCCTGCTTTTCCTAAGCAGGTTAGCTGGGGAAACTATGGATGAACATGGCCCAATATGGCCCATGTAGTTCAATGCCTTGCCTATTGCCTTGAAAGTGGCTTATGAACCAACCCTTATAAGCATGTACATGTATCAAGATGTATCCTCTGACCAATGATTTTGGATGATTTTGGGTTTATGGATCCCGGAACTTAGGGATGTCTACAGGATATGGCTATGAGTGTGTCAAGTCACTGGGAACCGTGAAACACACACATGTGTAGAAATATATATTAATATATTTACAAGATGCACATATATACATATACAAACATATACTTGCACAATATAACAACTTCTGGCTTTCTGAAACAAATTTGATTCCACAACATGTTGATCCAAACCCAAGTCACATAGTTTGAGGCGAAACTTTGGGTTTACTGCGTCGTGAACTCCAAATGGGGTTGGAGAGTGCTGTCTTGATTCGTTTAGACCCCTAAGCATTTTATACCCTCTGGTGCAAAGTTTACCCCATGTTGAAATGATTTCCCCATTAAAACCCCGATTCATTTGGGGATTTTGCAGCTAGCCACGTTTGCTTTCCAAAGGATATATCAGTGATTACAGGTATCAATCACTAAACAAAGTGTCTACTGTAATCAATCGTTCCTTCTGATGTCTGCCTTCCGGTAATTGAACTAGCTATGGAAAATGGATGAAAATTGTGTTTTATGGATGATTTACCTTTATCGATCTACCTATTGAAAAATAGAGTGATTCTCCATAATAGCTAATTAATATTAATTCATACGTTAAATGGCCAGAATGTCTGGAATAGGAAACATTTAATTGATAACAATCATAGCCAAACAATAACCAGCTATAACCAAATAATAACCAGCTTAAAACCAAATCTTCAATAATCCTATTTGTCGTATCGCTGGACAGTTCTCCCATTTGTCTTGAATGGACGGCGCAGAGCGATGGCGAACTGGATGCGCTAAGATCCAGGGACCACTAAACGAACATTGAACTTCATTAAGCATATTAGTGCCAAACTCAATGCCATAAACCTACGTACCATTTGCGGATATTTTATACAATAAACACGGTGATGACTTGGGAAAAGTGTATGGCATTGGGTTTACCCCAGGCAACCATCGCTGTCGCAGCGTCGATGCGATATATATGGCTGTCGGACGCGCTGAGAAACAGCGGGGCTTTCAATGTGTGGAAGTTCTCAGGTGAGATGGACCTCTGGTGTATATATATATATGCATATGTACACGCATACATACAAAAATGTGTATGTATATATAAAAAAAAATACAAATAATTTACATGTGTACATATACATAAATATTTACATGTGTATGTATGGATGCATGTAATGTAATGTGATTTAAGCGAATGTAATGTAATGGAATAAATACAATGTAATGTAGCGTATGTGCATGTATAAACAGCCCACCCAACATTTGAAGCGGGGAATTCGGCAACAAACCAATGGGTTCAAGGGTTGAACCAACAGAACATGGTGATTTTCACCAAGGCTAAAAGGGCTTGTGGCTGGAGCAACAAACATGGATTTGATCAGTAAAGCTGCCAACAAAAATAGGATCATAATACTAATCATAATCAGCAGAATGGCGGGAATCCGGTTGTTTCTTCCCGAACAAACACGTACCCCCATAATCTGCAACATCTGCTCTCGGATTTTTGGTTTTCTGACAGGGGGGACCCCGCTTTTGGACATTCAGAATGGTTGAGGCATGTGTAAAATGACCAAGACAGTCCACCGTGGCAATACGCCATTGCCTTGACCACAAACGCTTGATGATAAACATGGATGCAGCCCACTCCAGCCAAAGATACTAAGGTGTTGATGGTCATATAATGACTGCTTGTCATTGGGATTTTGGAGTAAACTTGAAAAGACCAGGGGCTTGGCCAATCATTCAACTGTGCTCTGTGTGTCAAACCGTTCATCCTCTCACGAGGTATTTAGGCCCGGATTTCCGGGCCAAAAACGATTCAGGAACCTCACGTTCCAAACAGGCGAAGTTCCTTCAGTTGTCAAGACCTGTGCGAAGAAGACATCAGAAGAAAACCGGAGAAGGGGCGAAATCACCTTCCTCATAATGTCTTATCGGAAAAGAAGAGGCTGCCGCACCAAGATTTTCATCAGAATATCTTTGTGGATCTCAATGGTGCATGGCATTATGATGATTATGTGGGGCCGCGGGGCATGTTAATGATCTCGGTATAGCCTTCGCAAGTCAGCTACGCGCCTCATTGCTTGCTCGCGGCCGCCACAGTCTTGTCTACCCGAGCAATTTCCTGAACCAGTTTCGATGAGAGGAGTGGACAGTCAACTTGGGTGGAAATGGACCTTGTTTCAATCTCTACAAAAATGAAATGATCCACTTTGAAATCAGAAATTTTCAGGGTACATCCAAACGAATGGTAGAATAGATTGACTGAGAATATGTTTATGCCTGTGCATATTCTATAATATTCTAATCACCTTTCTCCAGTTTTTGGGTGATGTTTTTGCATGTTGAGCATGTTTTTGGCTCACTTGACCTCCCCAGCGAGAACGGCTTCGAAAATGACACGCCTGACATCTACTGAATTTCTTGGGGATCTCAGTGCCCGTCCTTGGAGACACAGACACGAAGATCCACTACATCCTGTGCCGAAGCGAACGAGAGCCAGCCCAGCATTAGACTCATTAGACAAAACGCATGGACTCTTACCAGTAGGTTGTTCAACCTACAAAGCCTGCCACCATGCCCGGACAGCTTGGCAAACGAGACGACAATTGCACAGGGTGTTCAAGTTAACTTAAGCCTTTGCTTTTGAGCAAAATATTACCAATATATATATAATATTATTTTAGCTACAGCCTATAGGCCTCTGTTAGTCTGGCCCCTCAAAACGAAGGCAGCAGGCACTGGCAATGAGTCGACGGCAGGACAACCAAATGACGACAGCAATGCATCGGCACGCCAACGGCAAGGCAATTAAAGGGCGACGGCATGGCAACGGCATGGCCACAGCATGGCGACGACATTGCGACGACATGGCGACGACATGGCGACGACATGGCGACGACATTGCGACGACATGGCGATGACGTAATGACAACATGGCGGCGGTGCGGCGACGACGACGACGCCAATGGCGGCGAAGCAACGGCGAAGCAACGGCGATAACAACAACAAGGGGCAACCTGCCTGCCCCATCATGCTCAATCACTGTTAGCCCTCCATCTTGGCAGAGTGTGATGCTATCTTTGGGTGTGTGTGCGTGTGTGTTTGTTAACGTGTTTTCTCTGCATGATGACTAGTATATATAATATACTATATATATATATACGTTGTTTGCTTTTGTGGGTCCTGGAGTATTGATTATTTTGTATTGGGCTTTTGGCTTGCATGCTTTGCACTTTACAACTGGGTTTTGTACACTTTGCATATGTTGTTGCATCCCTGACATTCAGACAACGATTCTTTTTACTAAAGCATGTCAGCAGACAATGCCTATACAAGTCAGATACTCTCAAGTCAGACAGGCTTCAGTGCACAGAACAGCCTTTAACGCCAAAGGTTGGCGAAATTGAATGCAAAGAAAGGTGTGCACAAACTTCTGCACGTTCACCGCCAAACTGCCCTTGGGTTTGCTTGAGCTATGCGCCAGCTGAATTTCAAGTAAGTTATACGCTATATAGGTTTTTGTGACACGTTAGATCCCTTCTAAACGCATTTAGTTTGGAACAAGTTCTTACCCATTGACACCTTGTCTTCATCGAATTTGTGAGGACATAGTACCTAGGCTTGCATACTGACAATGAGCAGCTACAGCAACCTGAATCTGTTCTGTCCCGCTCCAATCCTACATGACATTTTTTTTCGATCACCATTTTTTACATAAAATGCATGGACTTGACAACATGTTCCACATGTATATCATTGTATATCAATTCCAGATTTTGCACGTGTCAATCACAGGTCCTGTATCTCCTTTATCTTCACCTCCCCTTTGCAAACACGCACGTTGTGAAATACCATGGGCCCAGCATGCATGGCACCCTGGCGATTTTTGAAACCTGCGCAGCAATCTAGATGCTATCAATGTCATAATCAGCGATGTTCAAAACCCGCTGTTGGTGATTGATTTTGCTCGCCTTTCGGAGCTCTGATCAACAAACCAGTATATTGCAATCAGATGGATCTTGAACACTGCTGATATGAATCGTCTACGTGAACTGATGTTTGGCACACTGAGTGGTGAACAATGGTTAGATTCTTAACAGGATGTCTGGCACAGTGTTTTCGATACAGCTTCGGTGCATTAGCACCCTGTTAACTCATTTGGGCCAAGAGCCGGGTGTAAGGAATCATCGCCAGCCCGTGAATCACTGGCAAGTACTTGCAATAAAGAGAGATCAGCTTAGTCACCTTCTTCATGTGCCCCAAAACAATTTCGCTTTCTGCACCTTTTGCGAAACAGGTGACGGGTTGGGAGCACCAATCAACAAAGTGATAGGTTTATATACATGTTATTTTGCCTAAGAAAAGTACCACGGCCAAGGTCACCAAACGGGCGCGCTATTGAATATGGTTGGGATTTTGCTTCAAAATGAGTATTGCGCTGTTCTACTCAGATATTCTTCCCCAAGCCCAGCTCTAATTATGAAAATCTACTCCGGTAATAAACGTATTTTTTGTATAGGCACCGCATGCTGACCCATGACAAGGTGATATTTCATAGGTGAAGCTTGGGCAGAGGTGCTACGTCAAGAACTCTCAAGCCAGACATGCTCAAATACACGGTCGAGCCTTTCACACCAAAGGTTGATGAACTTGAATGCCATAACTTGCAAGGACCCCATCGTTTTTGCGTTCTCCTTGTGTTCAATTTGTTTGAATTTTGCACCGGCTAAAAAATCAATGATATCAATGTCAAGCACTACAACTTTGCACGCTAGATGCATGGTCGCATGTTGAACCTGGAAAGGTTTCTAGGAAGTCATGTAAATATACAACATGTAGTCCCAGTTTCATCTTGAAAATTTGGGCATATAGCATCTACATCGTCAACAGCGCAGGTTATGTAATGTAGTACTGCATTCAAAAGGAATCTGGTTCACCCATTGTTTTCTGAAAAAAAGGGCTCACATGCTGATAATGCGTCATACCCTGTGCAAGCACATGTCCAACGTGTTTCTTCATCTAAAACCAGTTCACACACACAGATCTCGCGAAATACAATGGACGTAATGCGCAGGAATTGCCAAAATCAAGCGAGCAAGTGGTTGAAATATTTGATACAACCGGCGATAATTGTGAAGGAAAAAAACAATCAACTTTGCTTTCTTTGAATAAGTGTAGCGTAGATTCTCCTCCTCTAGATGCAAATTGGAACCGAAAATCCAAACGCACAGCGGGACTGGGGAAGAACCCCGCGGAGCGGCTTCCTACAAAGGGGAGACGTATAGGAAGGGGTTTCAAAAGCCACATAAACAGGAAACATGTTTTTCCGCACCCCTAGCTCCAGACAAGAGGGGTTCATCTCCGGACAGGGCGGGGGATCAAAAAGAGAATAAACCATTTGTTCCCTGCATTGTCCGGCGAATTCATCCCCCCTGCCTGGAGACGGAATATATTGATGCACAGAAACATCAAAGAACCCCGAATTGAGATTCACTACGTTTGTCCAAGTTGTGACTTTAGCAACATGAGAGTTCATGCGCTGTCAAAAACAAACTGCTGTTGTTTCAAGCCCATTGATCGAACACAATTCAAGTTGAATGCTGCCAGCACCGGAAACAAACACCCATTTAACGTCACTTCTCTTTTCCTTTTTTGAGCACATACACAGTGCCGATTTGCATCTTCCCGAGGTCACACGCGCTTGGTTTTTGAAACGAATCAAGGCCCATTCGATGACTGCATTGGAAGGCCATAGCGGTCATTTCAAATCACACCAATCATATCGGGCAGCTGCATGACGACGACCTTGCAACAACACGGCAAGCAGTGCGGTGTCATCATCAAAAAAACATGTTTTTATTTGCCTGTGCGTCGGCACGATTTTGGGTCTTTGGTGGAAGGTGACACTCTGTGAGCAGGGGTTGCGTTTTGCTTGCAAATGCGATGATCCATGGATTTCGTGTCGCCGTGTTACTTTATTGGTTTCTGCGACATGATGATAGGACCAGGAAGAGATTTCAAATTAAAGGATATTTCCATCGTCATGTCATTGTCAAAATTGTAAAAAATGTCGTCGTCGTGTGGTCGTCACATTGCCACCACATTGCCACCACATCGCCGCCACATCGCCGCCACATCGCCGCCACATCGCCCCCACATCGCCGCCACATCGCCGCCACATTGCCGCCACATCGCCGCCACCTCGCCGCCGCATTGCCGCCACATTGCCGCCACATCGCCGCCACAGCTGCCACAGGACCTTATTTCTGCCAATAACCTTATTTCTGCCAATAAGGTCCTGTTTGGCCAAAACAAGACCTTATTGGCAGAAATAAGGTCCCGTGGCAGCTGTGGCGGCGAGGTGGCGGCAATGTGGCGGCAATGTGGCGGCAATGTGCGGCGGCGATGTGGCGGCAATGTGGCGGCAATGCGGCGGCGATGTGGCGGCGATGTGGCGGCGATGTGGCGGCAATGTGGCGGCAATGTGGCGGCAATGCGGCGGCGATGTGGCGGCGATGTGGCGGCGAGGTGGCGGCGATGTGGCGGCGATGTGGCGGCGATGTGGCGGCGATGTGTCGGCGATGTAATGGTGATGTGGTGGCAATGTGGCGGCGATGTGATGGCGATGTGGTGGCAATGTGGCGACAATGCGGTGACGCTGTGTTGACAAAGTCGCGACAACTTAGTTAGGAAGACGATGATTGCGTGCCCTCACATAGACAAAGCAGAAGAGTTGCGGTCTTGAAAACTTTACCCAGCAGAAAAAATATTTACATTGCAAATTTGGAAAGCCGGTCCTTCTTACCCCGAACCAGAAAGCCCAGCAAATTCACCGTCATGTCCAATCCCAAACTTTGGGGCGCCTGCGTGTTTTCAGATGACACTTGCATATTGTTCAGCGTTGCCTCTTCTAGTCCTGGCGTGGCCCAAACATTAGACAGTGTGACTCTATCTGTTCGCGTGTGTTTTGCAATGTTTCTTGCTGTGATGCTATGACTGTTTGATTGTTTTGGGTATCTTCGATGATTATTTTGTGTTCAGCTTTTGGCTTGCATGCTTTGCACTTTACCACTGGTTTTTGCACACTTTGCATATGGTGTTGCATCATTGAAATGCAGGCGACGTTTCTTTTTACTAAAGCATGCCAACGTACAGTGCCTGCAAGTCAGATACTCTCAAGTCAGACATGCTTGAGTACACGGAGCAGCCTTCAACGCCAAAGGTTGGTGAAATTGAATTCAAAGGTGTACAAAAACTTCTTTGTGCTTACTGTTAAACTGCCTTTGGGTCTGCTGGATCTATGCGCCAGCTGAATGATGATTGTGACACGTTGGATCCCTTCTAAACGCATTTAGTTTGGAACAGGTTCTTGCCCATTGACACCTTGTCTTCATCGAATTTGTGAAGACATAGTACGTAGGCTTGCGTATTGACAACGAGCAGCTACAGCAACCTGAATCTGTCTGTCCCGCTCTAATCCTACATGATAATTATTTGTTTTTTTCGATCACCATTTTTTACATAAAATGCATGGACTTGACAACATGATCCACATGTATATCAATTCCAGTTTTTGCACGTGTCAATCACAGGTCCTGTATCTCCTTTATCTTCACCTCCCCTTTGCAAACACGCACGTTGTGAAATACCATGAGTCCAGCGTGCATCCTAGCCATGTTTGAAACGTGCGCATCAATCTAGATGCTGCAATCAATTTCAAATCAGCGATGTTCAAAACCCTCTGTTGTTTGAAGATTGCGGGCGGCTTTACCAGCCAGTGTATTGGGGACTATCAGGGCGCCCCTATCAACCAACCAGCATACTGCAACCAGATGGGCCTTGAACAACGCTGATGTGAATCGTCTACATGAATCGATGTTTGGCACATTTTGGCACCCTGTATGGTAAACAACAGCTAATTTTTTAAACAGGATGTCTGCAATGAGAAAGGAAGACACGCAAGATAGGTTTCCATTATAGTTCCGGGCTGTTAACCTTTTCGGGCCAACTGCAAGGAATCATTGCCAGCCTGTGAATCACTGGCAAATAAGCTCAGTCACCATCTTCATGTGCCCTTATAAAGCAAGTTTCTTGTCAGCAAAATGTGCAAAACGGGTGACCGGTTGGGAACACCAATCAACAAAGTGGTAGGTTTAATTAGGTTTCTATACATGTTATTTTTCCTAAGAGAAAGTACCAAGACTAAGGTCACCAAACGGGCGCGCTATTGAATATGGTTGGGATTTTGCTTCAAAATGAGTATTGCGCTGTTCTACTCAGATATTCTTCCCCAAGCCCAGCTCTAATTATGAAAATCTACTCCGGTAATAAACGTATTTTTTTGTATAGGCACCGCATGCTGACCCATGACAAGGTGATATTTCATAGGTGAAGCTTGGGCAGAGGTGCTACGTCAAGAACTGTTAAGCCAGACATGCTCGAATACACAGTCAAGCCTTTCACACCAAAGGTTGATGAACTTGAATGCCATAACTTGCAAGGACCCCATCGTTTTTGCGTTCTCCTTGTGTTCAATTTGTTTGAATTTTGCGCCGGCTAAAAAATCAATGATCTCAATGTCAAGTACTACAACTTGGCGCACTAGATGCATGGTCGCAGGTTGAACCTGGAAGGGTTTCTAGGAAGTCTTGTTTAAAAACAATAAAAATGTAGTCACAATGTTCACCCAAAACTACGAGGAATGCTTTTTAGCACATGGCACCTACTTTGTCAACAGCGCGTGGGTTATGTAATGTTGTACCACATTCAGAAAAGGAATCTAGCTCACTCACTCTGTGCGGAATAAAATTCATGGACTCACATACTGATAATGCGTCATATCCAATGCTTGCACATGTCCCACGTGTTCTCTCTAACCCCAATACACACACACAGACACGGTGAAATTCCATATGGACGCAATGTGCAGGAATTACCAAATCAATATTCAGCGTATTCGAAAAATTTGATACAATCGGCGATCATATTGAAGGAAGGAAAGCCAATCAACTTTTCTTCCTAAACACTTGAACCGAAACAAGTTCCAAAGAGTTGAATATAAGTGTAGCCTAGATTCCCCCCTTCTAGATACCAATTGGAACCGAAAATCCAGACGTACAGTGGGACTGGGGAGGAACCCCACGGAGCGGCTTCCTACAGAGGCGAGACATATAGGAAGGGGTTTCAGAAACCACATAAAAGGGAAACACTTTTTCCGCACCCCTAGCTCCAGACAAAAGGAGTTCATCTCCGGACAGGGCGGGGGATCAAAAAGAGAATAAACCATTTGTTCCCTGCATTGTCCGGCGAATTCATCCCTCCTGCCTGGGAATATACTTATGCACAGAAACATCAAAGAACCCCGAATTGAGATTCACTAAATTTGTCCAAGTTGTGACTTTAGCAACATGAGAGCTCATGGGCTGTCAAAAAAAACTGCTGTTGTCTCAAACCCATTGATCGAACACAATTCAAGTTGAATGCTGCCAGCACACGAAACACACCCATTTAGCCTTGCCCGATTCAGAAAGCATGGCGCCCATCTGGGAAAGAACATACGAAAAACTGATTTGGTTGTGACAAACGCGCTTCGGCATCATCAAACCATAGCCATATGTATATCTATGTCTACACCATACCCTATATAACTCTGTCTCGTGCATGATCGTCGCCGTCGTCCTCGTCATCGCCGTCATCGTCGTTCTCACCGTCGTCGTTGTCGTCCTGGCCACGTCGCCATGTCGTCGCCATGTCGTCGCCATGTCGTCGCCATGTCGTCGCCATGTCGTCGCCATGTGGTCGCCGTGTCGTCGCCATGTCGTCGCAATGCCGTCGCCAAGCCGTCGCCATGTGGTCGCCGTGTCGTCGCCATGTCATCGCAATGCCGTCGCGATGCTGTCACCATGCCATGGGCATGTCGTCGTCATGTCGTCGTCATGCCGTCGCCATTTGCACCAACTAAGCTTGCCACAGACCCCCTGGTACATACTAGAAACCTCTGCCCACAGGCTTCTGGAATCTAGATATCAAAATTACCATTTGCATCCATTTGCCCATCCTGCGGTAAACGGCGCCTTGACCGTGGCGGGACTTTGGCCGCGGAACTGCAGCACGGTCTCCACGAAGTCCTCCAGGGACAGCTCCGCGGTGTCGCGGAAGACGAAATCCGCCTGGGGCCGCAGCAAGGTCCGGAGCTTGGGGGAAATCCATGGGAAAATAGGAAGAATTTGAAGAATTTCATCCACCGAAAAAACATCCGCATTCTATGTCCTACTAAACTTACTCAAACATGATTTCTAGGGTGTTTGATATTAGGGGGAAGGGAATGAAATTGGGAAAATATGGCAAATAGTGAGAAAAAAACAGGTAAGAATAGAAAATAATTGAAAAAGGATGGGAAAACAATTGGGAAACAAATCGTGGTATATAAATTTGGAAAAACATATGAAACAACCGTGGTAAAATTGGAAATACAAGGAAAATGATGGAACACATTGAGACGGTCATTCTATAGAATGTCGTGGTAAAATTAGATTTTCATAGGACAATTCAATAAAATTAAGGCAAAAACACCCCAACATGGGGCTCATAAGAGGAGACGGGTTGCCACCATATAATTGTTGGTGAACTGGCATACGATAAACGAAACCTGGGTGACTTTGATTAACTCAAAACGTCCAATGTCTAGGGCTAGAGCATATCTACCTGCATTGGCGTACCAAATGTCATTCAAGTGTAATCACATAGGTGCAAGAATTACCTTTCACCTACTAACTAACAGGAGTTCCAGAGTATATGTAATCCAAGCGAAAATTTGATAAGCTAGTATGATTTGATACCATTTGGGACCATCATTACACTGTCCAAATAGATTGGCCGCTGACTTGCTTTGCAATGCCAATTGCCGAAGCAAAGGGCCAAAGCAAAGTGCACTGCAACAGAGTCCCGCTTCCGTATAAATGGTTCTGGTAGTATAAGTAGTTGTGTTTCAGTTGAACTAATGTGGACAATTGATAAGAATGAATGAGATGTTCTAGTGTCCCGCAGTCCAACCTGACTATGGAAACACCCATTCTAAGCCGAAAGCATGGCCAAATGATGATGCCGAGAGATCACAATCCCTGCTGAGGGGCATAGTCCACTAAAGCCAAGACATTCACACCACCTTCATACCTCAGCAGGGGCTCTGCTAATGAAAAGGCCCAGCCACAATAGCATCAACACCTTGTGAATAGGATTTTTCAGGTAGGTTACGCCCAATTCTGTTCCGGCCACCATTGGAATATCTCAATTTTCCCGAGGGGACCGTCGACCGCAAAGCTCCATAACCAGGGCACATGAACAAACAAAAGTCAAGAAGCTCAAACATTTGCCTCTAGAAAGGTTCCCCAAAAAAGTGTGGGTCGTCACATTACTCCTGCAAAATAGGACACAAAGAATGTATGTCCATTCCATTTCCTACCATGCACCAAGGTGTGCCAAAATCCAACGATTGCTTACGTGACCATTTTTGACCTGCTATTTTCAACAGTACATCTTCCGCTTTCTGCTGGGTCAAGGAGCAGCTTCCTGACAGCTTCCGGATTTTGCATCCTCAGGTGCTTATGAATGCTCAGGAGGAGGAGGAGGGTGAATGGTGGGAATTATGGTACCATGCGTGTGAGAAAACAGTGAACTAATGTAGACAGGTGGCAGTGCGGTGAATATCATGAATGAGATAGATAGATGGATGGATAGAAAGAAAGATAGATAGGATAGGATAGGATAGGATAGGATAGGAAAGATAGGATAGGATAGATAGGATAGATAGGATAGATAGATAGATCGATAGATAGATAGATAGTTCGATCGATCGATAGATAGATAGATAGATCGATCGATAGATAGATATATAGATAGATAGATCGATAGATAGATCGATAGATAGATCGATCGATAGATAGATAGATCGATAGGTAGATATATAGATAGATAGATCGATAGATAGATAGATATATAATAGATAGATAGATCGATAGATAGATCGATAGATAGATCGATAGATAGATCGATAGATAAGATTAGAGAGATAGGATTAGATAGATAGATAAGATTATATAGATAGATAAGATTAGATAAGATTAGATAAGATTAGATAAGAGAAGATAAGATTGGACAGATCGATAGATCGATAGATCGATAGATCGATAGATAAATAGATAGATAGATAGATAGATAGATAGATAGATACACAAATAAATAGATATATAAGATATATTAGATTGGATAGACTAGATAGATTGGGTAGATTAGTAGGTAGATTAGATAGATTAAATTAGATTAGATTCGATTCGATTAGATTAGATTGGATTAGATTCGATTAGATTGGATTAGATTAGAAAGATAAATGGATCAAATAGATTAGATTAGATTAGATTAGACTAGACTAGATTAGATTAGATTAGATTGATAGATAGATAGTGATAGATAGATAAATAGATACATAGATAAATAAATAGATACATAGATAAATACATAGATATTTTGGTAGGTAGGTAGGTAGGTAGGTAGAAAAATAGAAATATGCTTATATATTCTGATAATTTCTGATATGTCTTGCCATGTATATTGGCTACTGCCTCATCATGGAGTGGCATCTCGGCACGTCTGGTTTTCGGCTCCAACCATCAGCTGTTCCACAAGACCTTTCCACACTAGTCCCACAGTTGGTAAAAGAAACAATTTCACGAAGAGCATTTGTCTCGTTTGCTGGTTAAATTCCAATGCTTACATGTTGAGTTTCCAAGTGTAGTTTGTCTCTTTGCGAAATTGGTGTGGTTTTCCAAACTTTGTTCTTAGTATCAATGCATGGAACAAATATATAGTGTTCCTGGCGACCAACAAAAAGCAAACCCATTGTTTGATGGCTCAAACTCCAAATTGCTATCTGTCGCAAACATACGTGTAGAATTGTGTAGCAGTGTAGCCCCCTCCACTGTTTTTGTTCCTCTCTCTTTCCCTCAACTTTTTCGGCTGAAACCGGCTTGGCCCAACTCAAACCACCGCACAAATCAAACATTTGCTCAGCAAAGCTTCATATGTGCAAACTCCACAGCTGTCACTGTCTGGTCATGATTCTCGTCGGTGAGGTTAACCTTTGGCCAGCCACACATGCGATACAGTCATCGAGCGCAATTGCAGTTGGGTGGGTCTGGAAATGGGGTACGCACATCAAATAGTCGTTTTAATGGGAAGTACGGAAGTACCATGATTAACCATCAAATGGGGATGCCTTATTTTCAGACATACCCATTTGGCTCATTGAGTAGTATTGACTGCGCACATCGAGAAATCTTTTCTCCGGTAAGTAATCTAAGTGTTGTGCATCTACATCGCACGTCCGGGCAAGAGCGCATGATATTCCAAGATATTCCAAGGTTGCACCAAGGGGCCCAGCAAAACAAATGCCTTTCCAGATTCCTCCTCAATTGTCCCATCGAAGCATTCCAGGATTGTATGAATAGTTTCCACGATTTTACGAACAGTTTCAAGGTCTTACCTCCGACAGGACATGACATTTGAACAATTTGAACTGAATTTAAACAGGCCATAGCAGTAGCACCCCATGAAGCATGCCACTTGAGTTGTTCAAATGATTTCCCACCAGCAGGATCGTCCGTCATGTGATCATCGCAGGCATGAACTAGATGAACACCTTTCACATTCACCGGTGATGTTTCCGGATAGAAACATTACAAGCTATGCAAACCATCCATCAATCCCCATGCTGATGGATATAATTCCAATTTTGATATGTATACTTCCCATGTTCCTAACACATACGGAAACACGTTAGATAGCCTAGTTGGCCGGGAACTTTCAGCAGCATATCTCCTCATCTCTCCTGATCAGGTTGAGATCCTATATCTTCATCCAACTGGCCCAGAAATCGGACAATCTCAGACCTGCAAAACAAGTACCATCTGGTTATTTATAGCCATGGAAAATCACCATTTTCAATACGTAAACCATCTATAAATGGGCAATCTATACCATGACTATATGTTAACTAAGCAGAGGGTTAACAAAAAAAACAACCCCTATATATTTAGATTCCCCTGAAAAACGGCTTTACCAATTCAACGCAAAAATGATCGTTCCAGGAGACCACATCAGCAATGTCCCTCTTGAGCATCTTGAGACTCTGCTCCTCCTGCTCCGTCTGAGCAGTGGTTCCCACCACGTCCACCATGACGCCTGTGAGCATGTTCCTTGGAGCTTCAGGACACGGAAAACATCAGAAAACCCAAGGAACAGCACCAGTGTCACCGCTATATAACCAATATCACTACTTGTCGTATAAGATAGTCATTGAAACCATTAACACAAATCTTGAAATTCATTGGAACCACCAGTGATAGGAATAGTGTGCTATAAATATATATATATATATATGTGTGTGTGTGCGTACTCATATATATATAGATTTATTTATTTATCTATCTATTGATGTATATATATATATATATTATATGCATGTCGACGTGTGGGGAAGCCCGAATTTCAGTCCGTAGAATGCCATGCCGAGACAACTGACCAGCTCGATCATCTTTGTGGAGATCCACCGGTCGGATCGGTATCGCCCAGTCGGATCTATGGCAGAATCCCTATCCACAGCAGGTGGTGCCCCAATTCCGCTTAGTTGGTGAACATAACTCCAATTTCCCTATGGTTTATGGCAGATATACCTGTAGTTAATGAATGTTAATGAGGCTTATTTACGCAAAGGTGGAACTGGGCAGCAACTTACCACCGGGGATCTTTTTTTTGTTGGCCCCAGAAGTGTTAAAAAATCTTGAGGCAGTAGCGATGCTGGTGCGGACAAGAAACATGAGAGTAAGAGAACCTGGCAGGAACTTACCATCTTTGTGGCGGCCAAAAACCATCAAGTCATGTGGCTGGTGTATGACGCCGCTTTACTAATATTATATATATGTGTAGAGAGAGGGGGAGAGAAAAACACATGATCTGAAAGAGGGCGTACTAAGCATCATGTCTGGTGAGGTCACTGTGAGGTCGTTTCTATCAGACATTGCCGATAACATGTAAATTCAGAGATGAGTACCGGCTGCCCCCTGGTTTTGTTTCTTTTCCCGCTCCCATTCCGAAATTGAAATTCATTCTCACATTTTGATACATTTTGCCCTGGAGCCCCGAAGATAGAGTATTAAGTCGGTTTGTAACTAGGCTAGCATTTCTACTAGCATTGATGGTGGATGTATCCAAAGTGAGCTGGGTTTATACACCAAATGCTTAGAGGTCCAAAACCCAAAGGGTGATACACCGTCTGTAAAAAAGAAAACGGCAATGGAAGCTGTTCCCGGTATTTACTGGGATGTAGCATTATATACTATGATATATGCGTTGCATATTTGTCATGTGCCAAACAGTGGTTTTTCATGATGTCAAATACACATGGTTCTTTCTCCGCGACCGGAACCCCGGAAGCCCCGGTGCCGCTGCCTAAGAGCTGATAGGTCAACAGAAAGAGGAAGGAAAGTGGGTCAATGTAAACCATGGATGTGATATAGTTGGTATCAAATCCTTGGCGAGGCAAAGGTCTCCGAAGGTCAGGCATGGACAGGTGGACAGGTATGGGTTGTCTATATGGGTTGCATGTTGACAGGAAATGGAACATGGTTGAAGGCAAAACATATCTTGAACCCAGCTATGCTTTACTAGAAAAATCTTGAACATATCAAAACCCTCTGACAAATATCTGCCCAGTTTTTTTTTCAATTTCAGCTGGCTTGTCGTGACCAAGTTCAGATGCAGCAGTCAATTAGAACCAACCAAGCTAGCAGCTGAACATGGGCTAAACCAAGGGCGCCGCGATACCAGCCGTTTCTGGCGGAATTGGAGGGGTTGCTGCCATGTTTGCCACAATCCCAAGCCAGATTTCAGGTCAAAAGCTGCCACATTCCGAAGTGCTAATGATCATGGTCTGTGACTTGGTCCTTTGTGGTCGTTGGAATGATGCAAGTTAGCGCTGTTATCATTCTCCTGGTCGTCACTGTGGTCCCTTTAATCCGTATAGTCACTGTGGTCGTCATCAATCTAACCTTGTCCCAATCACCCAACATAGCATTCAATTAGGGATACTGCACCATTAACACTAATAGTAACATACGAATCAGTCATCATATGTCCTCGTCCTCATTCTTTTCCCTTCCTTATCGCCACCGTTGGCGTCATCATCATCGATATCGTCATCATCATCATCATCATCATCATCGTCTCAATGGGTATCTAAAGGCAAAAACAGCTTCACATATATTCAAAGCATCGACCAAACATCTTCATTTCTGGCCCTTAACAGTTATAAATGTTATAAATGGCTTTATCATGATATATAACCTTAGTTTTATAATTTTAAAGTAATGATAATTCCATTTGCAACTGTTAAGGGTTAAGAGCCAAAACTGTTTGCATCCTGAAATTGAAAAACAAAGCAACCCCTGAAAAAACCTAAGAAACAGCTCTTTCATCCGACCAGGACAGCCAGAGCATCCGCAGAGGGTCTGCATCAGCAAGAAATTCGTAGCAGTTGGCACGTTGTCAAACTTCCCCGCACCAATCTCTTTATTCCTTGGCCGGAGCGAGATACATCCCACTGAAATATGTACTGGAGACTGGGGCACGGTGTTATTCCGATATTACGTGTATGTGTATATATATATATATATCTATCTATCTATATTTATGGTCAGCATGCAGCTTCTAGTTCCCCTCTGGAAATTTCCCAACAACCAGCGTTTAAGGCTCTGAAGCAGCTGCACCATGGCCACGGCAAAGGTATAGGTCACCAGGATCAACAGGATCAAGGTGGTGCACACAGAGCGAACGCCCTGCGCCACGGCGCCCGATCTACGGCCTTCTTTTCTAGGGCTGGACAAGGCTATATCCGTTTGAGGTTTACCTAGAGATTTAACATTTCAAAGGTTATATCAGTCTGATGTGGCCAGAGGCTACAGTTTCTAGAGTGTGATATAGCTGTTATATCAGACTATGAACACCTAGGACCTAGAGGTTTAACATTTTAAAGGGGAACGCACATTTGTTTTGTTGATCGCGAGAAGAGGACTTCTGTGGGTATGGTGTCACGAAGTCGGTGGATAGGTCCTGCATGTCAGCACAACCGACTTGCCAGTGGTAGTGTTGGCTGTATTGGAAACTCCCAAAAAGATATTGAAGTTACCTGCATGATTTTCACTCTTTGACGAACTGACGAACAATTTGAAACACACTATAACATTACATGAGTTTTCTTCCTTTTTTGTCTGAGTCTGTTATACTATGTATTTTCCCGACATTTTCACAATCCCCAATTTACTTGCCTGGAGTAGGAAAAGGAACAGCGTCCCCGAAAAAGTGTAGCTTGTAGTGTTGCCACTTAAAACAGAACTACAGCTCACCTATTTTTTAATGACAAGACCGAGCGAAAAAAATGGTTCACCACTCACCACTTTATACCACTTTACATGGCCAGTTTCTTCATCACTTCGCACATCATCCGCGGCCAGCCCATGGCAGCCTGGCCTGAAACATGCCTTGCACCAAGATCATCAGCTCGGGCACGGAGCGGAACAAACGAGACATGCGAAATGCACGCGTGATACGAATCCTCAGCACTGCTAGGCTGCTACGTCGCTACGTGGTGGTACATCATTATAGCATATTATAGCATCACTGTATCCAAGTTCTTCTCTGCATTTTCAATGATTTGATATCCTTGGGTCATTGGTCAAAGTGTGTGAAGTTGTGATAGTATTGGTTGCCCAGGAATGAGACCATGGCATTTTAATGTACCCTCTGGTTCTTTAACGTAGCTATGGAGAATCACATTTTTAAGAACAGCAAATCTTCATGTTAATCATCTATAAATGGACCATAGCAAACTGTTAAACAACCAGGGGGTAATTGCTAATTGCAGAGCTTCAAACTACATCCTACCTGGTCCTAGCGCCAGATGCAGCACTGTGACAAACATGGCGGCTGGGGACTCAGCAGGACTGTCGTCATACCCAACAGAACCACACACACACACTCACACACAATCACACACACAAACAGACAGACAGACAGACAGACGGACGGACAACGGACGGACGGACGGACCGACGGACGGACGGACGTGCGGGCGGACGGGCGAACGGACGGACGGACGGACGGACGGAAGACGGACGGACGGACGGACGGAGTGACAGACAGACAGACAGAAGGACATGCATATGCACACACATACACGCCTCTATATGTATTTAAACTTATATATACATAT